GGCTGGAGAGTGTTCCCTTGGGTGAGTTTCGCGCTCGAGCTGCATGCTGATCAGAGTGTGTGATGGAGTATCGAGGTTAATGATTCGATGCCGGACMGCTGGGTGTCCATGTTCTTCAGCAGGAGACGGGGATGAATTTGCCCTAGGGTGCTGCGAGTTCGCAGGTCGGGAAGAGTCGAGCTGCTCTTGTATGATGGTCTGAGCCGTTGTGAGGGAGTCCAGACGGGCGTTTGTTTGACGAACCATGTCGTCTTGTTGGTCAAAGCGTCTCGTGAGGGTTCCCAGGATACGAACGAGATCAATCTGACCGTCCGCATTCGTCGTTGCTTCAGGGCCACGAGCTGTGGCATTCGTTTCTTCATTTGCTGCGGTCTGAGCGGCGACCGGGCTGGAGTCCATTGTGATAGGTGGAGCTTCGRGAGTTGCCTCCAAGATTTCCTGATTTGATGTTTCTCCAGGATGTTGACTTATGGATACGTGCGGACTTATACTTCTTTGCGTCAGAAAATCTCCTACCCCCTACCTGGCGCGCCAATTGTTGATCCAAGCAGGTCGACAATGAATTTATAATAGATCAGAGGTCGGAGACCCTCGTATATAGAAAGTTAAGTCGAAGAGGTGTAAATACAAGTAGATCGCTAAAGATAGTCCGGATAGATCCCGTGCTATCAGTTTGCTAGTTAAGAGATCGCGGCAGATCGGACAGACTCCGAACTGCTAGACTTTCGGTAAAGAGTAGGATTTAGAGAGCTCACGAGTGGCTGGGTTTGCACTTCTTTTTGGAAGTTTTCCTTCTCCCCTTTTTACACCACCCTTTGACCTCTATTTATAGTGAAGGACGGTGGGTTTAACCTGAGTTCAGCTGACCATGGTTGATCTGATATACCCCTTTTTGACCAAGCTCAGTTCGGGTATTCTTTAGGTGTGATCAGATCGCGGTTAACGGTTGGAGCGGGCCTCTGGCAGCCCGCTGGGCCTCTGCTTCCTTTGGTGATCCGCGACTCGTGGTATGCTCAGAATGTTGGGCCGTAGGTCCGGGCCCAACAGTTTTGCCTTTCATTTTCCAATCTTGGACATGTTTGCTGGCTTGGGTTAAATTGCGATCTATTGGCGCACCTCCTTTGTTACGGAAGTTGGTGATTCACACAACATTGTATTACATTTGGAAAGAACGCAATAACAAGTTATTCAACTCTCTAGCTACAATAACTACTCAA